CTAGGAGGATAGGCTAATCTGGAAAGAAAACTCATCTGGGAAATTCACTGTCAAATCAGCCTACTGCTTAGCAAGTAGAAAAAGATTTGAACTCCCTTCCCCACCTGCAGGTCATCTGATAAACAATAGTATCACCCAAATTAGAGAGCCCTATCAGGAGTTTTGGAAAATAAAAACTGATCCTAAAATTAAACATTTCATTTGGAGGTGTTTATGGAACTCAATTGCTGTCAATGTGAATTTAGCCAACAGAAAACTATCCCAATCCAATTTCTGCCCTATCTGCACTAAAGAACCAGAATCAATTATGCATGCTCTGTTTAAATGTGACCATGCCAAGCTTCTTTGGTTTGGGTCAAATTTGAACTTTAGAACAGAGAATGTTTAAAATGATTTCTCCAGCTGGTTCCTGGAGTGGATTAACCTGTGCAGCCAGAGGAATGACAGAAAATAAGAGCTCCTAAGTTACTCATCTCTTATTCTGTGGACTATCTGGAAATGTAGGAATAAATTTGTTTTTGATAAAGAATTGTCTAATCCTTATAAAAATCTTCTCTGACTCAACAGAGCTTGGAAGGAGAGGAAGAGGACTTTGCTGAAAATATGGCTAGGTACTTCACAAGTGCCTGAAACTGCTATTTGAACATTTTTGTGGCAACCCTCAAAACAAAATCTTTTGAAGATAAATGTTGATGGCAACTTTTTGGGTAAGGAAAAGCAAGTTTTGTAGCAGTAGCTAGAAACCATTTGGGCTTCCTAGAAGGTGTCTCTTTTAGCTAGTCAGTTTCAGTTTCCCCCATCCAAGCATAAGCTTTCATATGCCTTCAAGGAGTAAAGCTAGGGAAGATTGCAAACAAAGGTCTTTTTGTGATAGAGAGTGATAGCAAATCCATGGTTCAAGTACTGAATGCAAAGAATCTAAATAATGTCTCTGAAGCTTTCTTCTTTTGTAAATATATCTTGGAAGAATGTAAAAACTTGAATATTTCTTTCTCTTTTACTAGGAGGGAGGCCAATTTACTAGCCCACAATCTTGCAAAAACGGGCCTTTCAGACTCTGATCTTTACACAGAAGCCCTACCCTTGTGGTTAGCAAATTGGTTGTCTCCCCCTCCATCTATGTAATGTTTCTTGTTTGTTTTAACGAATTATCTTTCTTCTCAACAAAAAAAAAATCATATAATTTTTATATTAAAAAATTGTCTTTATTTCAAAAACCAATATTTTATTAGTTCCAAAATCAATTTATTTTTCCTTGTGAAAAAAATAGAATTGAAGAACATATTTTTTTTATTTTTTCTGATATGAGAATTCTAAAAATCAAATGAAAACAAAAACATTCACGTTTTAGAAAGCCCCCTTAGCAAATAATTATTACGTTGAAAAATGAAAAAATTGTGCGGTTAATATTTAATAGATGGGAATTGAATGTATCATCAATCTCGAGATTTGATGGGTAATCTTATCAATCACAAAATCCCTCTACACGAGAGATAGCAGATTCATGTAGGAATGGAAAACTCTCCACCCGACCAGATTAGTGAATCTTTTATTCTTTTTAAATACTTGCTTACATAGATAATTTAAATAGAGAGCCAGCTTTGGCTCACTCGTGGATTAATGTGACCAAATTTATATCCATGTGACAAATCACGACAACTTATATTAAATCTTGTCCTCTAAGGGATACTTCATACTTCAACCCTCTACCAATCCGCCACCTTTTAAGCATTTATAGGCGGAACTAGTCAACCAGATTATCAAACCATTCTATCCAAAAACTCAAGGCAAGGTTTTAAATTTCACAATGTATCGGTTTGTATCGTTTGATACTTGTCATTTTGGAAGAGTTTTAATACACAGAATATGTATAATTAGATGGTTTTGTATTTTTTTCATCTGTATCGGTCTGATACAAATCCATATCAACCTCGTATCGGACCATTTTGGGTATGTCTTGCGATCCTAACACTCCGACACTCACGCTCCTGTCAAGGAGTGCCTTGGACCTCAAGCACAACAACAGAAGCCACAAGCCTTCCAAGCCAAGTTAAGCTCCATAAAAAATTGCTACGCATCACCGAATCCAGCAAAGTGCACCGACATTTGGTAGCAAAATCAAAGACAAGTGGGAGCACCTAAACGAGCTAGAGTGAAGCCATCTCATGTGCAATGCACTCGTCACTAGATCATGGATAAGTAGCCTCTGTAGGATGGCAGCCACCTCAGCTCAACAAGTATGATGGCACCTCGAACCCCATAGATCACCTAAACAAGTTCAAGGCTACAATGCTCCTCTACGAGACCTCTAAAGCCTTGATGTGCAAGGCTTTCACCACCACCCTACAGGGAGCAACTCGGTAATGCTACTCTAGATTGCCACCCTGATCAATCACTACATGGGACCGGTTCGAAGAGAAGTTCCTGGCACAGTTCACTAGTAGCCAACGACACTAGATGACGTGAGCCAACCTCATGCAGATTAGGCAAAAAGACAAGGAGTCCCTACAAGAGTACTTGGTGAGGTTTAATGCCAAGTCTATCCAGGTTCAAAAGCTAGACTAGTCTGTGGCTATGGCCACTTTGATGCACGACCTGTAATCCTCCCACTTCAGATTTTCGCTATAGAAGAAGCCTCGGTAGAACATGACCGAGCTCCTAGCACCAAGGTTTAAAGTATCAGAGACATAAAGTGTATCAGAAAGATAATTTTAAGAGACAATCAGGATACGCTTTGGATATGAACGAAAAATCAAGATACGCATAAATATGTTAAAAAACTCAAATAAATCCTAAAAATATATATTAATAATGATAGTTACAAGTTTCATATTATTGTAAGTAAGTTATTTAAAAGTAAAAAAAAAAAAAAACTGTAATTTAATGGTCTATAAAAAATTCAAGATATCGGGACACACTTAGTAACTATTGACAAATGATGGAATAACTAAAATGTATATAATTTATCTTAATATTTATTAACGTAAATTTTAATAATTAATTCTAACATTTATTGATAAGCATACACTAAGAAAAAGAGAAAACTTACTTAAAAATAAAAAATGCATAAACCTATAGCAAGCAAATGGGCATGGCTTAGTGATGAACCTCTAGTTGTTAGAGCCTAATGGCTAGGGTTTGAATCTTGTTATTGCTAAGCTTGTAGGTTTTTTTTATACTAACAAAACGAATTTAATGAGAATGAGGGTTATTAATTAAAGAAATTAATGAGAAGAGAATTCCAATTAGGCGCTAAAATTGAAATTCAATTTTAAAATTATGCATTAAGTACAAGAGTAATTAACTAACTAATAAGAGAAATTTCACTTAAATAAAGGAGTAAATATAAATTAATGAGAGGTAATTCGACCCTAAATATAATTTAATGAAATTAATGAGAGTAGGGGACTTGTATCGGGCTGTATTTCGGGTCTGTATTGGCCCGAAGCAGACCGATACATACGAAAAAGAATGCTATAGATAATTTCTATACATTCCGTGTACCGGACTTATACCAAGACGACACATATTGCAAAATTTTGAACCTTGCCTAGCATGAGTCCAAAAGTACATCAACATTGAAGAGGCTCAAACACAACACCAGGAAGCCGAAGAGAACTAGCATGAAACAAAGCATAAAGATCAGGATGACCATTGACCTGATCGTGTCAAGAAGAGGTCGAAACGTTAACGAGACTGTAGGCCTTATACTCCACCCTCAACCTTCAAGAACTTTATACCCTTAACCAAGGTTTTAAATTTCGCAATGCATAGAACATGTATAATTAGATAGTTTCGTATTTTTCGTTTGTATTGGACTGATACGGATTCGTGTCGGCCTCTTATCGGACCATTTCAGGTATGTATCGGTCGATACAACCCAAAATGGGCCGATATTGAGACCTCACTAAATTTTAATATTATTTAATTAAATGCTCATTTGAGTTACCTTTAATTACGACATTTAATATGTCATTAAATGTTATTTAAGTCAAATAACTTGTTAAAAATCACAAAGTGAAGGTAACAAGTTTCCAACCCAAGCTGTTTGCTTACAATAATAATTAATTAACCATTATGCCAACCTTAGTTGCTTTTTAAAATAACATGTTTTTTTATACTTAAAGTAATCTTTCTTGCCTTGGTGGATGTTTCCCAACAAATGTTAAATTTTGATTATTAATATTTATATAATAATAAGATGAGTACATATTATATTTATTTGTTAAGAATTAAGATATATATTAACTTGTATACATAATAAATATTATCTAAATCTATATAATAAATATTAGTATATATACACACACATACATTTTAGTTGCATTATTTTTCAAGGGTTACTAATTATATCCCAATACCATATATAAATCATTAAATAATGTTTTTATATTTAAATAAATTAGTTATAATCACATAAAACTTATTTTTATTGTTATTCATATTTTTTAAGAATTTTTTGTTGGATTTTCTAGTGTATTCAGATTTATCTTAATTTTTTGTCCATATCTATAAGTTTTTAAAACATATCTTAATGCATTTCTTAAAATTACCTTTCGAATACATCTTACATTTCTAATACTTTGAACTTAAGTACAGAATCGGTTCGACCACCTATTGGATTTCGATGTCCAATTGTTGATACCCCCACACCGAATTACTCATCCACCCACACAGCCATTAAAATCGAGACCGGATCTGCTCCGGCGCCTCACACCGATCTCACAGCTACATCCTACCGTCTATTATTAGAAATATCTCCCGTATTTATAATCGGGAGACTGGAGATGTTGCCAATTCATTAAAATCACTGTCCCGTCTTTTCTAAGTGTCGTACTTTTTTCTTGTTTTTATTCCTGCAATCTTCTCGTACTTCTCTCTCCTTCTCCCCTCATTGTTTGTTTCGTGATTCATGCAGTACAAACCAAAATACACACCATTCATAGCCATACACACAGCCATCTAGTACACGCTAACCCTATTTAAACGTCTCAAAGACTCAAAACCTTATCCATCTCATTCGCATTTGGATGCTCTTATATGGCTCGACTTCACCTATTCATCTCCCTCCTTCTCGTCTCTGTCCTCTCCGTCTACGCCCACGGCGGCCACCATGACGATGATGACGACGACGCCAGCACCCTGTCGCCGTCAAAGGAGGAGCCCGATCTCCGGTCAAAGTCCCTTATTATCGTCAAGATTTATTGCTTGATACTTGTTTTTATTGGAACCTTCATAGGTGGCATATCCCCCTACTTCATGAAGTGGAATGAAGGCTTTCTTGTACTGGGGACTCAATTTGCAGGCGGTGTGTTTCTGGGAACGGCCTTGATGCATTTCTTGAGTGATTCCAGCGAGACGTTCGAGGATCTTACCACCAAACAGTACCCTTTCGCGTTCATGCTCGCAAGCGCTGGTTATCTACTTACCATGTTTGCTGATTGCGTCATCTCTCATGTTTATAGCAAACAGAGGAATGACGGAGACGGCGATGTGGAGCTTCAAGGTACAGTTTCCGATGTTGTTTTTGACTTATTGGGTATGCCCAATTGGTTTTGCCCCTTTTTTCCAAATCTGCGGTCGACTATTTTTTTGATTTTTTTTTTTTTTTGTAAAAAAATGAAAACATCTCTGTTTTTTTCGTGAATTAGAAAAAAATATTTTCTCTTGGTTAAATTCGAGAATTATTTTCTCTATAGTGTACATAGTATAGTGAAGAGCAGACAGGCTTAAATTGTTTATTTATCGCGGAGATTATTCTTGAAGAAATGGTTTCTAGTTGTTTGTAGTAGAGACTACGTGGTGGTGTTGTAAAATCAAGTGGGAACTCACTCTTGAAATCCCCAGAAGATGGAGATTGTTGCTGCTACATTTTTTTAATGGATTCTCTGTGAACAAGAAATGGAATTTAAGATAGAATTTTTCAATTGAGCATTGAGACTTCATTGACATGTACTGTTCTGCCAACAAGCCCCTCTGTTTTACAAACTGATGGAATGAATAATCTGAAACTTTGAAGGCAAGAAAAGAGGATCAAGTCAAGTGGTTGTTATTTCTGTTTGTTTATTACGTATCAGTTCCACTTCCATCAAATATCAATACATCGTATTCCTCTGTTGTTGGTTGCAGGAAATGGGAAAGGACCTAGCACCAGAAGCATCAGCAACGGCACAACCTCGCAATCACACTTCCAGGTTGGCTGTTGGGTATTATCAGAGACATCAGCAGTATACTTACTGACCAAGAAAGATAGTGTAATTGTTAATGCTGATAATAATAATGTTTGATTGTATGAAAAGCAGGCTGAAAACAAAAGCGAGAACCAGGTGATGAAGCCGTCCCTCGCGACTGCTTATTCGCTGGGAGACACAATCCTGTTAATCGTGGCTTTGTGTTTCCATTCTGTGTTTGAAGGAATCTCAATTGGGGTTGCAGAGAATAAAGCAGATGCTTGGAGGGCTTTATGGACGGTCAGCCTGCACAAGATATTCGCAGCCATCGCCATGGGAATAGCTCTGCTGCGGATGATCCCGGATCGTCCCCTGGTATCATGTGCAGCCTACGCGTTTGCCTTCGCCATATCAAGCCCCATAGGAGTGGCCATCGGGATAGTGATAGATGCCACAACAGAAGGTCCAGTTGCAGACTGGATCTACGCCATATCCATGGGTCTGGCCTGTGGTGTCTTCATCTACGTTTCCATAAACCATCTGCTGGCCAAGGGCTACACACCCCATAATCTCACATTGGTGGACACGCCCTTCCATAAGTTCTTCGCCGTGTTGACTGGAATCGGGGTGATTGCAGTCGTCATGATCTGGGATTGAGCTCTCGATCTCTCTCTCATCTCCCTCCTTCCACCCGGCTTCTGTTCTGGTCGAACCGTAGAAGTGGAACCCCGGTTTTTGCTCTTCTTTGGGTTTAATCTTTAATGCGACAAGTAAAAAGCCATCCGGGGTCACAACTCCGCTACTATGAACTATGATAGTATGATGAACTAGGAAGAATTGAAGATGGTTTTCTCTTCTTTTACCAACAAAACAAACCAATCTTCCAGTGCAGCTGTACAGGAGAAAACAACAAAACAACAACTGGAAAAAGTATCAAAGTGATGTATAACAAACTTTTGTATATTTGTTTCTTGGGCAATGGCTTGTTTGTAGGCTCTCTCTACCCGATTATTTGTTTGGAGCGTAGACTTGTTTGTCGAACTGAAAGAGGGAATTGAATCCTGACCATGCAAGTAATAAGTGCCAACCGTATATCCCTTGTCCTTTCTTGCAATGGTTGTTGGGATTAATTGTTGGGGAATTCACATCTGCGCCCCACGAACGCTCAACAGCATACCGCAATCGTGTAGTGGGAAGATCTCCCATTGACAACTTTGGAAGGAACGGGATCTGTTGCTCACACTTGGACGCCTCACATGCACATTCACAGTGCATTGGGAACATCTTCCTTAAAAAATAATTTACAAATACGGGAGATATTCCCAACGCATGGTAGGATGTACATGTGAGGCGCCCTATGTGAGGAACAGATTCGAGATGTTCCCAATATATGCTGAGATGTGCATATGGGGCTCCCCTTGTGGGGTGCAGTTGTGATGTTATTATTGTAACCCTGTGTGTCCCCACCGTATCCAGATTTCGAATAAAAACATACTGTTGAAACTTGAAGACACGGTCTGTTTTCAGTGAACAAGTCTGATGGTCACATTTTATTCTTTATGGCTAACCCATGTATAGGAGGCTCTCCATGGTAAGGTATTTGAGAATTCAATATTGAATTTGAGATTTGACATATGTTTGGCATGGATGACGATTCCTCCTTGAGGATTATAGTGATTCTTTGAAAAATCATCAAAATTTGTTTTTTAGTATCATTTATGTCATGTAACCCGATTTTTGAAAAACCAGCTTTAAGTGTGTTTAGTATTGATTTTCAAGGGCTGATTGTTTTTGTATTAGAGTTATTATTCAATGCCATGTTGTTCTCAAAAAATCAGAATCAGATATAAATCAGGAAACCACTAAGAAAGGTGATCCCTAAAAGGGATGATTTCAATAATCGCTTTTTGGCTGATTTCCTAAGAATCACTAAGATCAGCCAATCAAACAGAAATTTCACTGCTGATGCGGTTCCAACATGGCAGTGATTTTCAAGAAATCATCACTGATACCAAACATCACCATAATCAAATCAAATTTGGATAATCAATTGAATTCAAATATCCTATCCATACCATTTGATTTAAGGCCCTGTTTGCTTTTCAATAAGTTACTTGCCCGATTAAATGCAATTATTTGGACAAGTTTTTCCCAAGAAACACTTAACCTGGGTAAGTGCATTTACCCGTGTTCTTTTATTTCCTAAATAAATAAGGTAATGACCATTTTAGCCATAAAAATCCATTATTAAAATAAACATTTTTGTCCCATTCAAGTGTTAGAAACTTTCCCACCTAGGAGATGAGGTAAGTGATACCTAGGAAAATAAACTTTCCTTGATCCCCACAAAAAATGAACATAGGATTCTTGGTCAATGGGAACCAAAATCCCATTGACCAACTTTCCCCCCTCTCAAAATCCAAAAAAAGAACACCCCCTAAGTAATCAAATCGAATTCGGACATGACCTAATTCAAATTCGATTGATTATTTAATTCTTATATATAATATATAAAATATTTAAATATTTTATATTATATATAATATTAAATTTTATAAATAATTTATATACATTTATATATTATTTTGTATATTTAGTATTACCTAAAATAATAAATCAGTCAAATTCTAATGATCTAATTTTCTAATCAGATTCGAATTCAATCTGCACTCTGCTATGTTACCAGTTTCCACCCATGGTTACCTGCAAATAGGGGTGTCAATTGGACTGGATTTGGTCCAGTCTGATCCAGTTCAATGTGAGTATTATAAATGGACCAGGTCCAATCCAATCCAATGAATATTTTGGACCAATTTGGACCGGTCCAATTCAATATCTAGACCGTCCAATCTGCTTAAATTCATTTGATTTAGATTGGTTTCAACCCAAACCCGGTCCATTGACACTATATTCTTATCTTATATCAATGGATCAGATACTGGCTTAATCCAATCCAATATGTCTTGCATGTCCGTCCAATCCGTCTAAATTAATTTTGTACTGGACGGGGTCCGATCCAAACCGGTCCATCGACACCCTTACCTGCAAACTGCTCTCTAACGTGTGTTATGTAATGCCAACTCCAATCCAAACCGGTCCAATCCAGTATTCTCTCACAAGTCACAGCCACTTGCATTCCCCAGATCCTGCATACGAGATAACAACTCTAATGCCTTGTTGAAATAATAGTAAGATTATGGACCATTCCAAATGAACCACTTGTTGAACAATTAGTCTATTCTCCAATAAAAAACCTCGTTAAAGGATTGAATTTGGGTCCCAAAAACCAATTTTGCTTCTTGTATTCCAAAGATGGGTGAAACAGACTCAGAGTAAATACAAATACCTGACAGAACTCCAATCCAATTGGAAAAGCTTCGATTCAATCGAATTTAGATTTATGTTTTTAATAATCAGATCTGACAGGATTCAAATCCAACCCAATTATACATACAATGAACATCCTGGTTTAACTGGGAAAGCCACGCTCACCGGAAGCTACAAAGGCCCGTACCTATAACCCAGATTATGCATACAACTCAAACCTAAGAATACAGGACTATAGTCTATAGCTTCTTTTCACTGACAACATAAAAATCTAGAGGCTTTGGATTTTTCTAATTGAATTCTAGAGCTGTTGTGGCATCCCCACTGGCTAGGTTTATCTATCACCTGATTAATTTGGCATGCTAATTTATGTATCTTCATATAACTCTTTTTTTTTTTGTATTTTTTACATTTGCTGCAATTTATGTATCTTCGTATAACTTATGTTTTTCTTTTTTGCTTTTTTGTAAATTTTTTGCAACTTATATAATTTTCTGTTTTTTAATTTTATAATTCCTACAATTTTTCTGTTGTGTTTTTTATACATTTTTATTTTCTTATTTGCAAGGTTCAAGGTATCGACACGTGTCATTCTGGCACCCCACCAATACGCCCCTACAGTGGGTGTATCGGTGGCCTGACCGGTTCAGGGTGTGGCGAAGACCTAAACCGGCTCCCCTGAACCAGTTGGTGGAAAAAAAAAAAAACACCAAAAGGGGTATCGATTCACCCGATACACCCATAACGGCGTATCAGGCGTATCAATATTTTGAACCATGCTTATTTGAAAAATATATTTTTGTATTTTATCCACAAGTTTTGGGTTGAAGTATATAATTAATTTTGATTTTTTTGTCAATTTAGGTATTTTATGCAATTGCAACTTTTTTAAAAATAGTATATGCTTTTTTAATTTTATCATTGCCATTTTTCTTGCAAATTTATATTAATTTTGTGTTTTTTATTATTTTTTTGAAATTTTTGTGTTTTTATTAATATTGACATTTTTCAATAATTTTCTTAATATTTGTATTTTTGTTTCGCTAAAATATTTGTGTTTTCTTAATATTTGCCTTAGATTAGTGGGTCATATGGGTGGGTTAGGGTCAAGGTGAGTTGTGACCCACTAAGGCCCATTGAATATCAAGGTTCAAAATATTGATATGCCTGATATGCCGGTATGGGCGTATTAGGCGAATCGATTCTCCTTTTGATGGTCTTTTTTTTTTTTTGCCAACTGGTTCAGGGGAGCCAGTTTAGGTCTTCGCCACACCCTGAACCGGTCAGACCACCGGTACACCCACTGTAGGGGTGTATCATTGGGGTGCCAGAACGATATATATCGGCCGATATGAGCCGATACATGTCAATACTTTGAACCTTGATGAATAAAGGTGGTAAATGGGTCAGAGGGTCAATGTGGGTGGGTTGATACTCAACCCTCACCCAACCCAACCCATCCATTTTGCCACCTCTTACCATCTTAAAATTGCCCAACTCTCTTTAGATACCAATACTTCAAACCTTGATAAGAAACAACCAACACAGATGAACTGGTACATGTAGAATGCCAACTAGCTCCTTGTTTGGTGTATACAAGGAGAAAGATAAATTTGCATGGTCTTAACACCACTTCCCTAAAAGAATTAGAAATATCATCTAACTGCAGGAAAGCATTCACAGGGACGTCGAAATAGCAACAGGGTGATTCAAAGGATTAAAAGAAAAAAATAAAAGTGTGTTCCGTAAATCAATTTGAAAAACAGAAGAAACATTTTCTGCACCCGTGGATGCATACAGCTGATTCTTGACGGTAATTTAGATAATCATAAAACCGAATTGTTGTTGAACAAGGGAAATACAATGGGGGTTGGGGAACCTTGCCCAGTTGCCCCCACTAATGCCTGCTATAGGTAAAATTCCAGACAAAAATAGCACCTTGTTAGTTGGAGATTTGAAGTTCGCTAAGTATCCCAGTCTCATTTTGAAGCAAGCATGAAGAATATGTCAGAAACCAAATCCATCAACTCTAGAGGTCCACCTGTAGCCCCTTTTCAAAACAAAATGTTACAAATATGGGTCCAACCAAGTCCCCAACAGCACAGCCTGCAGTGAAGCAAATGCTGTGATTTATTAGCTAGAAAATTGAGACAACAACATCATCAATAACAACAACAGAGAATGTGCTTACCAATCCATTGCCCAGATGACGGACGGAAAAGAGTGGAACCAATCCCAGCTCCAATGGATGCAAAAACTAAGGATGCACCACACTTGACAGTGGTACAGGAGATCTTTTTACCAAGAAGTTGAAATTCTTCTTTGGTATCTTTATCAGCCTCCTCTCTATTGGTCATATGAGCAAAGCATTTATATATCTCAATTCCAATTTGAACAAGCCATGATGCTACAACTCCAAGCAAGTGTCCTGTTAAATAGAAACAAAGAGGTGCACGAGACCCTGAAGTTACATTTCAAGCAATCAACCATGGGGGTGGAAAACATTCATCAGATAAAAGTCAACCTCTGAAAGTTGTTCTACTGACACTATAGAAGTAAACAAAAGTCGGCATCCCCCTTACTGCCTTGCGCTTGGCTGATTTGGGCATATCTACAAACATTTACTCACATCAGTTCCCTTGATATGGTGATAACAATCAGCACATAACAATAACATTATATTTAACTGTGGAGAAGAAAACAGGGAAGGTCCAAACTTACTGGCCAAATCCGTGGATCACATGAACAAATAAATAAATCAACTTTTTTCAACTTGCCAGCAAAAACTGCTTTTAACTAAACTTGAAGCAGATTTGGAAATATACATTACTGAAGAAAAAATAAATAAACAAAAACACAAGTTGCTACACCAGGAAATAGAGTTCCCTATGAACCAATTTACTGTGGAATATCTGACTTCCCCAAATTAAAAAACAACTATTACCAACCAAAAAAAGAAAGAAAACCATTACTTTATCTTAGTATGAGTAATAATTCAAACACATATTTTAAACAACACATTGTAAAATAGTAGAGAAAAAAGTACCCTTAAGAAATTTCCATGCCATTCGTTGTGAAACATAATGCACAGCAAGTCTTTCCAGTACACGTCTGGTTGTTATAACCGTAGTCTGCATTCAGATGCAACATACAAGTCAACAAACAGTAGAATGATACTTAAAAAATTTACAAGCATGGTTGGTGATCAATAATTTTAATCAGCAGAAACATGAAATATCCCAGCAAGTAAATACATTACATAAAGGCCAGTACCCAATGATGGTTCAGAGCCCCAGGCCATCCAGGGTCTTGAGAGGGGTAGGCTGGATGCAGGATCCAGGTTTTCGCTTTTTTTTCTTTTGGCATAAATGATCACTGACATACTGAAAGCCGGGTTTATACTTGTCATCCCAAGATTTTACCATTGCATCAAGCACTAGCCCCTATGTAACAATAAGATTAAATAACAAATCAATTGAAGGAAGTTTTTGTACATTACTTTTTTAGAAGGTAATATTAAAGTGATAAGTCAATATTTCCTTTTCTACAAGGACAGAATATTTTTGCACTAATAAAAAGTATGAAAGGAGAGCCAGAACCCAATAAACAGAAAGATTAAAGTCTGACTAGTATGACTCATGTACAGCAAATTGTGATCTGTGTACAAATAAAATTGTTTCAATCATTAAAGAAGTCATCTAAATTCAGGCCCTGGAACCCCTCCAAAAGTTATACACAAGACTGGCTTACTAATTTTTTTCTAATTGGTTTATGAGAAAGAGGGGAAATAAAGTAACCACAACCCTAATTGAGATTGTGGTTATTTCCCCCTTTTTTCCTTGTAAACCAATCAAGAGAGTGTAAGAGAGAGAGAGAGAGATCAATTAGGGTTGTGGTTATTTTAATTCCCCCATTTTCCTCATTTAGAAATTAAAAAAAGGAAAAAAAACTCAATTATGGGTCAAGGTAACTTTATTTCCCTTTTCTTCCTCATAAAGCAATCAAGGATGGCTTCCTAACCATTGACATGTCTCCTAAAACATGGACACTGAACAACCTTATTGGCAACCACCTCAAAATACTGCCTTTACCACTTTGCTACAATCAAGACCTTAAATCTTTTAATTTTTTATTATTGAGTGGGGGAGGGTGAGACCATGGCTAGGCTAATATTGGTAAGGCATAAAAAATCCCAGTTTTTTGGGTTTTGGAAGTGATCTTGATTCCCCAACTTAATTGTGTTTCTTATTTGTCTTCTTGCTCTATATTGCAGACATTATCTCTTGTTAATTCCTTTTCAGATACCCACTTACTTCATAATCAAGTAAATTCCTCCAGAACTTGGAAATCCACATACTTTGTTGACCAAAAATAAAAGAAAGAAACTTGGAAATCAACATAAACGAGTTTCTGTCCCATTCCAAGTTCCTTGCTATTCTTTGTTTTCGGCAAACTCTAAGAGGCATGGGAAGCTCTCATCTAGGGCCCTATCATTACACCACTCATCCAACCAAAACCAAATACAAGTTCCATTACTTACCTTGTGTCTGATACCCTTGAAGAAAATTTCATTAGTCTTTTCAATTTCGTCATTTGATGCTAACGAGTTGAGAAAAGAAATCATTTCTTCTGTTACCCCAAAGCCACTAGAAATCAACTAAGAAGAAATGTAACTCTCCCTATGGGTTTCCCATTTCACCTTCTAGTCCTGTGATTTCATCAATTCTATGAGATAGAAGGTCCTTTCACATGTCTACAAAGGAGTCTGATCAAAAGTCAATTTTCTGATAACTAGGTCAACCCAAGGATCCATGATGTCATCAATTAAATTATTAAAAGAATAAAAAATCATGTGAGAACAAAAAATATTATAAGATACTGAGTTATTAAGTTAATTTAATAAAGAAACCCAGATGCATAAATACATTCTGGGAGCAATCACTTTGTGCAAAAACTGCCAAAGGTTAGGTCCATATATAGTGCATCCCTCCCAAGACCCAGGTAACTGGGACCAACCAATGTTTTAACTTTTAAAAGGTATTTTGAGGTATATGCCTAGATGAGAATCTCCAGACGAGGCACAGTCAAAACACTGTAAAGTGTACACTGGAGGTGTGGATGCCTCTGAGGTATACGCCAAATTATGTCCGCATATATAGTCTGGCCATTACTTGGTGTAATGGTAAAATCTTAGGCTGGCAAGTTCAAGGATGTGGGTTCAAGTTTGAGAGCGACCAAAGGAGACAGAGAAACCCAGATGGTTGGAACCAACATTGGGTAATGGCCTTTTTTATGTAGTCTAGTCCTGTAAACCAAAGGAGTCGGAGAAACCCATGATGCCTTAAAGTACCAAAAGAATGATTAAATTTAAAGGTTCCTTTCATGATTTTTATAATCTGTTAGTGGTATATATAAATGATTTTGCAATTCAAATATACATTCACAACATTAGTTGCACTTTCAAATTATATTCTGCTCATAAGTACAAAGATCTGTCACCATTATAAGCTACTATCAAAGTTCAACTTGTAACTCAATTAATAAGAAGACAGAACTAATTTGAGGATCTTCATACCTCCAAAACGCTATTAAGTCTTAATGTAAGTCCTACATAATCTTTTTGATTACTAACATAATCAGAAGCCAATTATTAACATGAATATGAACAAGACAAACCCACTCAAATTGGATAAAAGTCCCACTAGGCCATGCATGGCCTTCTATTCATGCAATACATAAAAGTCATTGCATTAGAACCCAGCAACAAAACCTTTTCAATGTCTGAAACCTCTTGTAGGACTTGGTTGTTTTTGATAGGAAAAAAACAGTCAGCAAAAACAATGCACAATTACAATACATGCTTAGCCTTGAATACCCAAAAAAAATCCACTATAGCACAAAAGGAAGGAAATTGATAAGATATTAACCTCACGTAGGATCTGCTTGACAGATTTTTTGAAGGGAGTAACCAAGTCTACATGATTCTCTTCTGGAGTGTCCTGTAAGAAATCCTCGTCATCCTCGTTTAAGTTGGAACGAGGTTCCAAAAGAGGCAAATAGAAAACCAAGAAGGACCTCAAGGAAGTCATTGCAAAGGACCTCAGTCCAAAGGCTGAGAATAGAGGCTTTTGCTCAATTGGGTATTCCTTGGTTTGGTATTTAATTGAATTATGCTGAAAAATTTTTCCAGAAGCAGTTTGTAGATTGGACATATAGTCTTCAGCCCATTGTCCATTAGCATCACAAAATGCAACTGATATGCCACCATCACTGAAACATGATGTAAGGGTCAGAAAATGATAAGTGCATTGTAAAGCAGTGATAAGAATATGCAAGGGAAATTGTAAAGATGGTCTAAGTAGGTGGCTGGTCAACAAAAAAATTACCATTAAGTGATGATAACCAAAAACTAATGAACCAAAACTTGACTGTTCTACAAATAGAAGTAACTAAGAACTTTCAAAAATATCCCATGCTAATCATCAAATTCTTTACAAGCTAATAGATCAAGAAATGACAGAAAACTATAACTTAGATTAACTGAAGAAAAATAAAAGACATTCATTAGTGTCATTGTGAGGTATGAGAAAAGTCCCCCTCTCAAGACAAGTTTTCACGGTGAATCTTATAAGTTATTAAGGTTTTTTATTGGTAATAATTTATTTAGGTATTTTAAAAGTAATAAAAAAATTGTTAATGGTTAATAGTGTTCATAAGATTTACAGAAAAAAAAAAAGCTCACAAACCAGTATTTTATGGTACACCCCCCCCCAAAAAAAATAAAGAAATAAAGAAATAAAAAACAAAACATGACACATCACACAATATATAAACAAAAGCCTGTGCCTCATCCCCCTAAACTCACAGATAACAAGACCCCATTCCATCAAGAGTTTGCAAACATCAACACAAAGACACAATGACACAAAAGACATCCAGGATTTTCAAACACCCATGGCTCATTCCAAACTGCTCAACAAATGGCAAAAGGAACCATAGACTACAAGATAGCATCCCAAGAAATATAAGTCCAAAACAGAATTGCTTCCTAAATAGAAGAAAGACAAGACCAAGACCTAAAAAGGAAACTGAAGAGCTCTAAGAGACACCACATAAAAGCTTCCACAAGAAGAAGCACCCTTCTGCCCCATATGCAACTATAATCAATTTATTTAGTGACACCTCTAGCAAGAGCTATGAAGAACAACCTGATAGAGAACCTCCCTTGAGTCCTGCCCTTTCCACCACAAACCATCCCTCAAATCAGGATAAATAAGAATATATTCAAGCTTTAGGCTCAATTTGTTTGCAATGCAATTTAATTTATACTAGTACAAATGCATACGAGTGTAGACTGTAGAGTGGAAATTCTAGTTTACTTTTGTTTTGAATTTTCCTTTGGCTTCAGATTTCATTTTACAAATAAACAAAACAAAGTAAAACCTAAAACAAAAAAAAAAAAAAAAAAATCAGAATTTGCATTCCCATGCTTTTGCACCAGTGCAAATGAAATTGCATTGCAAGGCCTTAGGCTCAGTTTGGAAGGAGTACAAATACAAATATGTACAGCATAAATACATACAAAATAATACAAAATACAAGGTTTTGCACTCTATATATTTGTATTTGTACTCCTTCTAAGTGGAGCCTTAGGAACAAAAAATGCATTCAGTAATTTCCATATCCAATAGAGACATATGAATCCTAGTGACTCTTCTGCGGTTCTCCCTTAAATTGTGAAGAAATCAGAAATGTTCTCCCCACTTGAGTAGAGACTCTACAGAGCCTATACAACAAAGAGCAAAGCTTATAAATAACCACCCCATTGTTTTCTCAAAATCCAATTAAGCCCCATCTCCACCCTCAAATCAGTCAATTGAGAATAATCACCATAAATTCTTCTGAGGTCTTTCCAAAAGCTAAACCCATAGAATTAAGTAAGCAGTCTGAAGGCCCAACCATTTCTAGATATTCCATAAAGCTAATTCCTCTCTAAAGCTAACTGCAAAGAATGAATTAATACGTGTGGAGGGCCTGGAGACCCAACCATTTGGCAGTAATTGTTCTTTTCCATAAAGCTAATTCCTCCCTAGGAAATTTATTTTCAGTGTTCAAAATTGTTATAACTTTTTCTCCCCAAATCTGGACCATAAGTATTTCTTTCAGTTGTTAGTGCGTCTGTGTGTGTGTGTGTGTGTGTGTTGTTGGGGGGGTTGCAGCCACTTCTCCCCACTTTCTCCACAAATGGGTCTTATAACTTATAAGTTATACACATACATGGTGTAATTGTTGAAATCTGTTACATACCCATACATCTTAGATATGGTTTCGAGTTTAGATGGATTTCAGTGGTCATGTAGCAGTGCTGTGATATTGGTAGCAATTCCTTAATTAGTAGACTTGTGTTCATTCAATAAAGGCACCAAAGTCCAAAATGTAGAGAAAATGCATTTTTAAACAGAATAGATGAGACAACCCTTCACACTATACAAGAATGACTTCTGTGCCATTTGTCACAATTCATATGGAGTCTGAAGTTTTCTCAATTCTCACCCAAGATCTCCAAAAGGTGTTTAATTTCTTACATCATTTCTCTTTGAATTTCAAGTGCTTTGGGGACAGTTCTTCATTTCCCTTTTGAGGTTAAGAGCAAAGGTCCATGTCATGGTAGTTCACCATTGAGTCTTGCAAGTTCAAACTTACTAGAGATCCTAGGTCCCTAACCTTTAAATCTTAGAGATCAAACACCAAAAGGATTTATCTGGAGAGGGCACAAAAATCACTTCAAAAGAAAGTGATTGGTTCACACTTCAGTCATTAAAACATACAAATATATTTCTTGTTTATTTTATTTTAAGATTGTAGAATTATCTACTTTATGCGAAAAAATAAAGAAAGTTATTCATTCAGATCTCAGCCATGCAAATAGATAAGAACACCTCCTGTTTATTTGAACTTTCTATTATACACAGTTCACTTATACATTTTTCCCACCATCTGGTGGCTGGAAAAGGCCAGATAAAGACCAATAAATGCTAATGGTGTAAGGTTTTCTGTTTTGAAGGTGCACATTGCAAGCAACTTGACCCATGGCAAGCAAAGAAACACCACAGTCTATTAGAAATCAAACGTTGAGTAAACAGTACTAAGATTGGAACTTCAGATCAAAACAAATTGATGAGTTGTAATACTGGTTACAAATTATACAGCAATAGGATAAATATGCAAGCCACCGGAGTAAATGCCAAGAACAAAAATATCGTTAACATTAAGATAATATGGATCACCCAGTAAAAGTAACCTTGCATCAAATTAAGATCTAAAGCTAAACTACTACAATTCTAAACCCCAATGAGAGAACATAATTCGGTTTGCTTGTCAATTGGTGCATATTGCAGCAAATTCATTCACTAATAACCATGAACACCCAATTTCTGTAAAGCCAAATTTGCTTCTGATGCAATCTATGATATATATCACTAAAAGTACATTAAGAGATCGACAAAAGGATTGATCAGGGAAAAGCAAAGGTCAGTCAGTAATGCCCTAATACTCAATCAAGCCACAAAATTACAGTTGTACGAAAGATAGGGATAAATTCGGAGCGATAACAGGGGAGAAACATATAGTAGAAATATGAGAAGAAAAGGTTACCGGAACAAAAATCTAGAAGCAAAAGGCCTTGCTGCTCCAACAGAAGCAGCAGCAGCGGAAGCAGCGACAGTAGCTGAGAATAACCCGGATGAATGTAGGGTTTGGCTCGAAAGTGCAATGTTCTTCCTCCAAAGATCCAGTAAAAGAGATATTCCTGCCATTCTTCTTAAATTATCTAAAAACACGGGGGATTACGTCTTTCAGAGCGTTTTTATGAACACATGACGGAGAGACTATAAACTTGTTGTCTTCCTTTTCCTGTTTCACTTTCGATCGATTTGTTAATCCAACTAAAATGAGATTACGATTTGTTGAGAGAAAAAGAGAAGAAATTTGGGAGCTTGGACTCGGTAAGAGCTGAATCTGTGGAGGGATCGAATCTGTGACTGTGACATCAACGGTCCATCTTTGGCTTTGGGGTGGAGCGAGTGCGAGAGCCGAGAGGAAGTGGGGACATCCTAGTGACAATGCTCCTAACAATGGAGGCCGTTGGATTGGTATCATTGTCAACAAGTTCGTGCCGGAATAATCTTGGATCTGGGCATCAAAGGAATTCCAACTTAACATGTGCGATTAGCGACATCGAAGCTTCTCCGTCAGATCCAAAGTACATGGCCACAAGTGACAAGCCCGGGGTGGCAATTGTCCCCGTCCCCGACGGGTACCCGGGCTCCCCGACCCGACGGGGTCGGATATGGGGGACACTTTGGCGGGGTCGGGGATGGGGAATGCAATCCCCACGCCGACCCGCTCCTGATTAATATTATAATTATATATTATATATTATATAATATATAATTATTAATTTATTCGTAAAACAATAAAACATAAACATTTGAAGATAACCCTTCGACTAAACCAGTCTTCGATAAAGTCGGAGAGTAGAGATAAGAGAGGCGACTAAACTAGTAAACCCTAGCTTCGTCTTCGTCACCTATTCGCCGACCACCGACCGCCGACAGTCGTTGCTAACTGTCTCCACTGCCCACTCACCCGTCAGATATCGGACAGAGGAGAGGAAGAGATACTCGAGTCTCGAGTCTCGACAGAGGCCAGAGAACTGAGAGAAGAGATACTCAGAACAAAGATCTTCCTTCAACCTTCGTCATCGTCGCCGACCGCCGTCCCTGTCACTGTCGCCGTCACCCTTCGGACTCTCTTTCATCATCGACCTAAACTCTCTCTCTCTCTCTCTCTCTCTCTCTTAGTTTCAGTCTTTCATACTCTCAGTCTCAGTCTCAGTCTTTCTCTCAATAGATGGGGAATTCGGGGATGGTGGGGGATGGAGGGGGGATTCCTTTCCCGTC